AGCGCATAAAAAGGGACATGAAGTACTGATACATGGCTACAACGATGTGGTGGCATGCGCCTGTAGTCCCAGCTACTCAGGAGGCTGAGGCAGGAGAATTGCTTGAACCTGGGAGGCGGAGGTTACAGTGAGCCGAGATCACGCCACTGCACTCCAGCCTGGGCGACAAAGTGAGACTCCATCTCTACAACAACAACAACAACAACAACAACAACAACAACAAAAATTTCCCGGGCATGGTGGTGGGTGCCTGTAATCCCAGCTACTAGGAAGGCTGGGGCAGGAGAATCGCTCGAACCTGGGAGGCAGAAGTTGCAGTGAGCCAAGCTCGCGCCACTGCATTCCAGCCTAGGTGATGAGAGTGAAACTCTGTCTCAAAAAAATAATAAAATAAAAAATAAAGTTCAACTTATAAGACTTCTCTTACTGAGACAATCTGATACAGTTAAGCAAATCTGAAAGTTCATCTCAAATGACATGTTTGTTTTAAGCATTAAGTAGAAGATGTCTTATTTTGAGAGAGGGTCTCACTCTGTTGCCTGGGCTGAAGTCCAATTACGTATGTAATCATGGCTTTACTACAGCCTCAATCTCCTGGGCTCAAGCAATCCTCACACCTCAGCCTCCTGAGTAGCTATGACTACAGGCACGTGCCACCACACCAAGCTAATTTTTTTTAGAGGCAAGGTCTTACTATGTTGCCCAGGCTGATCTCTAACTCCTGGGCTCAAGTGATCCTCCCACCTCAGCCTTGTGAGTAGCTCAGACTACAGACACACACCACCACGCCCAGCTAGTATTTTTTATTTTTTGTAGAGACAAGGTCTCGCCATGTTGCCCAGGCTAGTCTGGAACTCCTGGCCTGAAGTGAGCCTCCCACCTTGGCTTCCCAAAGTGCTGAGATTACAAGCATAAGCTACCACACCCAGCTAAATACAAGTCTTATGCCTAAAAATGGAAGAGTAAGTTATTTTATTTAAAAGCTTTGGGGAAAAAAAAAAAAGAAATTTAACAAGTGCAAACACATACTACGTGCCAGGTTCTGTTCTAAGTACTTTATCTGCATAAACTCATCAAATTCTCATGACAACAATAAGGTCAGTACTGTTAAATCCCATTTCACAACTAAGGAAAGTAAGGCACAATGAGGTTAAGCAACTTGTCAAGGTCACATAACTAGTAATAGATGATCTGGGATTTGCACTTAGGCAGTGTAGTTCTCAAAGTCCTTCTGCTATATCACTTCTCCCAATTGGTATAATAATTATTCATGTGGCATTTCATAGAGAATCTAGAATATCATCTGAAGTCAGCATGTAAACACATTAACATTTACCTCTTCAAAAATAGCCCTGGAAAAATCCCCACAGCGTAACGTGCCATCATAGCTCAGTGACAGTATGTGGGCCGGATTGGCGGGTGAGAAGTAAAGACAGCTAACTGGTTGACTATGGGGATGAAAAACATAAACTCCATCTTCTTTAGGTTGCTGGGTCTGGAAGAGAGTTGGAGGTAAGGGGAGAGAAAAAAAAGCTAGTGAAAAGTAGTGATTTTTGTTATGCTATTATGTCATTAAAGAATTTACACTGGATTATATTCAGTCTTTTCTTAGTCTATAATTGTAACCACTCTCCCCATCAGAAAGTCAGAATGAGAAACTTAATCTTGTCATTAACTTTTTGTAGTTTTCAATCCAACAATACCAAGTCACATTAATTTTAACAGTGACCAGCTTTCTGTAACTAACAAACTAGTTTATATATTACTGTCAGTTTATAAAATCCTCAGGAAATGAGAAATCTACTCTATTTCACACATGGTATAATCGCTAACTAAAACAGTATCAGTACCTTACTACTTTGCTTCTGTAGCAGGCTTCTGTATAATATTAACTTACTCATTCTCAGCATAATTTTCATAAGGTATTTGGTCCTGGGACAAAGATGATAGTTTTAAACATACTTTGTTCTCTAAATACACCATAAAAATGCATGTATTTGAATTTCCATATTAATATACCTACTCCTAAGGACTATCCTTTCCACAACTGCATTGCCAACTCCTGAGAAGTCACTTTTCAGATCAAGGTAAGTTATGTTTCTATGCCATATGGCACATTATGAAACACACAAAGCATCACCTCTAAATCTGGCTTAGTCTACTCTGAAATCGTCAAGCATTTTTGTTTTATTATTTTAAATTTTAAAATGGAAAAGTATTTTTTAACAGGAAAAAAATGAGAAAAAATTATTATAATCACACATATTCTTCCTGTTACAAGTTAGAAACTACTGACAGACATATTTTTTAATAGCATTTGTTTTCTAGAAAAATAAAACTTTCTCTTGTTATAAAGAACTCAAACAATGCAGAAATGTACAAAGATGAAAGTTTTAAAAAATCACTCCCGGCCAGGCACGGTGGCTCACACCTATAATCCCAGCACTTTGGGAGGCCAAGGCGGGTGGATCACAAGGTCAGGAATTCAAGACCAGCCTGGGCAAGATGGTGAAACACTGTCTCTACTAAAAATACAAAAATTAGCCGGGCATGGTGGCAGATGCCTGTATTCCCAGCTACTCGGTAGGCTGAGGCAGAAAATTGCTTGAACCGGGGAGGCAGAGTTTGCAGTGAGTCAAGATCGTGCCACTGAACTCCAGTCTGGGCGACAGAGCAAGATTCCGTCTCAAAAAAAAAAAAAAAATTCCAAATCTAAAATTAACCAAAATTATCATTAAAATACTGCGATTACAGACATCTTTATAGTTCAATTTAATGTGATTCAAAATGGCATATATAGCATGGTCCTTTTTTAAAATTTCTTCTCTATCATTCTATCTGTATAGGTACATATAAATATGTCAAAATAATATAAGAAAAGGAAGCTAAAGGAATTTTTGAACTTCAAGTATTTATCTCCTACAATGGCAAAAGTATAAAACAAAAAGCAATTACAGTCATTATGCTTTTTATTTTTTAAACTGTTAATTTTAGACAATTTATATTGATTTGAGAATATTATTCTCACCCTTCCTCCAACAGTCTTCTCTTTTTTTTCTTTTTTCTTTTTTTTTTTTTGAGATAGAGTCTCACTCTGTCACCCAGGCTGGAGTGCAGTGGCACAATCTCAGCTCACTGCAATCTCTACCTCCCAGGTTCAAGCGATTCTCCTGTCTCAGCCTCCTGAGTCGCTGGAATTACAGGCACCCACCACCACACTTAGCTAATTTTTGTATTTTTAGTGGAGATGGGGTTTCACCATGTTGAGACAGCACGTAATCTGAAACGCAGATTTTTTTTTTTTTTGAGACAGTCTCAACTCTGTCGCCCAGGCTGGAGTGAAGTGGCGCAATGCCGGCTCACTGCAACCTCTGCCTCTTGGGTTCAAGCAATTCTCATGCCTTAGCCTCCCGAGTAGCTAGGATTACAGGCACCCGCCACCATACACAGCTAATTTTGTATTTTTAGTAGAGACAGAGCTTCGCCATGTTAGTTAGCCAGGCTGATCTCCAACTCCTGACCTCAGGTGATTCGCCTGCCTCAGCCTACCAAAGTGCTCGGATTACAGGCATGAGCCACTGCGCCTGGCCTTGTTCATTATTTTATACTAGGATTCATACCACCTACTTGTATGGGGTAGGTGTTACCACTCCCATGGGTCAAGAAAACTTCCTTTGAAGACAATCAGTTCTACTATTCACCTTCCCTACTTCCTCTATTTTTCCTCCAGCAACCATTTCCCTATTTCTCATTCTAAAGAGGGAAAATCGGAATACCCAATGTGCTTCTCTCTACCTTTGATAATATAGGAGAAAATTCTCAGGATTTGGTCGATTTACCAGTATGGATTCTGCACATGGGTCAGGGCAGAAGCTAAATTATGCTGTCTCCTAGCTCTGCTACAGGATTCGTTTCTCTCCTTGGTAGCTAGTTTTTGAAGTATACTACATTAGGTTCTGCTTCTTTTTTATTGCAGTAATTTTTTTTTTTTTTTTGAGATAGGGTCTCACTCTGTCAATTCAGCCTGGAGTGCAGTGGCACAATCATGGCTCACTGCAGCCTCAACCTCCTTGGGCTCAGGTGATCTTCCCAGCTCAGCTTCCTGAGTAGCTGGGACTACTGGCACACACCACCACACCCAGCTATTTTTTTTTTTTTTTTTTGTAGAGACAGGCAACTCACTATGTCACCTAGGCAGGTCTCAAATTAGTAGGCTTAAGCGATCCTCCTGCCGCAACTTCCCAAAGCGCTGGAATTACAGGTATGAGCCACTGCATTCAGCCAGCATGAGGGATCTTGTAGGGATGATGAAAACGTTCTAAAACCAGACTATGATAGTTAAACAACCGACTAAACTTATTAAAAACCACTTAGGCCAGGCACAGTGGCTCATGTCTGTAATTCCAGCTCTGGAAGGCAGAGGCAGGTGGATCACCTGAGGTCAGGAGTTCGAGATCAGCCTGGCCAACATCTCTACAAAAAATACAAAAATTAGGCTGGGCACAGTGGCTCATGCCTGTAAACCCAGCACTTTGGGAGGCCAAGGTCTGGAGTTCATGACCAGCCTGGTCAAGATGGTGAAACCCCATCTCTACTAAAAAAAAAAAAAAATCAGCCGAGCATGGTAATGGGCACCTGTAATCCCAGCCACTTGGGAGGCTGAGGCAGAGAACTGCTTGAACCCAAGAGGCGCAGGTTGCAGTGAGCAGAGATCACGTTACTGCACTCCAGCCTGGGTGACAGAGCGAGACTCGTCACAAACAAACAAAACAAAAAGAAAAAAATTAGCCAGGTGTGGTGGCGAGCACCTGTAATCCCAGCTACTCAGGAGGCTGAGGCACAAGAATCACCCGAACCCAGGAGGTAGAGACTGCAGTGAGCTGGGATCGCACCACAGCATTCCAGCCTGGGTGACAGAGCGAGACTCCTACCTCAAAAAAAGGAAAAGCATTGAATTTTACATTTTTAAGTAGGATTTTATGATAGGTAAATTATTACCTCAATAAAGTTACTTTTTTAAAAAACTGGGGAAATTGTGAGCACAGGATAGGCAAGGTAATATTGCTTTTAGACTTGCTAAATCTGTTAATGAGATTGCCAAATGTCCTGGAAAATTAGGTTGATGGAGATACTGGACTATGGAGATCTAGTAACAGATTTTTTTTTTTTTTTTGAAATGGAGTTTTACTCTTGTTGCCCAGGCTGGAGGGCAATGGCGCCATCTCGGCTCACTGCAACCTCCATCTCCCATGTTCAAGCAATTCTCCTGCCTCAGCCTCCCAAGTAGCTGGGATTACAGGTATGTGCCACCACACCCGACTAATTTTGTATCTTTAGTAGAGATGGGATTTCATCATGTTGGTCAGGCTGGTCTCGAACTCCAGACCTCAGGTGATCCGGCAAACTTCGGCCTCCCAAAGTGCTGGGATTACAGGTGTGAGCCACCACGCCCAGCCATAATACAGATTTTTGGAGTCACCAGGAAAGATATGAAAAAAGAATTTTTATGTATGTCTTAAATTATATACAGATCAACCATCCAAAAATATCTTCACTTAATCATGCTAATTTTCAATATTTCCTTTTCAAAATTATTCAAAAGGTAGTCTCAGATGAGTGTGGTGGATCACACCTGTAATCCCAGCACTTTGGGAGGCTGAAGCAGGTGGAGCGCTTGAGCTCAGGAATTTGAGATGAGCCTACACAACAGAGTGAGACCCCCATCTCTACAAAAAATAAAAAAATTAGCCAGGTGTGGTGGTACACGACCGTAGTCCCAGCTACTCAGGAAGCTGAGGTGGAGAATCACTTGAGCCTGGGAAGTTGAGGCTGCAGTGAGCTATGATCATGCCATTGCCCTCCAGCCTGGGCAACAGAGCGGGACTGTGCCTCAGTGGTGGGGGGCGGGGGAGAGAACAGTAGTCTCTATCCCCATTTCTTCCAGTTCTTTCATTACCCCCATACTTTCTTAATCTCCTAAAGCCTTTGTTCCTTACTTACCTCATTGTCAAAGCTATTCTCTCAACTCACGAATGGTACCCTATTTTCAAAATCCATGGCCTTTTCTCCATTCTTTTAACTTCTCCGCAAAAGGCTCTGCCAACCTCCCATCCTTAAAACTTATCTCTTGGCTTCTAAAACATACTATTCTGATCTTCTTCCCACTTTTTTGCTTCAGTTTTCTTTGCTAAATCCTATCACCTCCTACCCCCAACTCACATCTTATCAAAATAAGGGAGAAGCTATGATCCCAAAATAAGAAAGAACTTGGTTTCTATCTGTCTCCAGACTTGCAAATTTTGTTTATAAACCCCAACCAACTTCAAGTCACTACTGTTTCTTCATCTTCATTAATTGTCCTTACGGCATTTTTCATGTCTTTGGTCTCCTTCCCCAATAAGAAAATAAATTCAGAGAATATTAACTTGACTTTTCTCAATTTTGTAACAACAGACAGCATTTCATGCAGAATTATATGTACAATGAATGGAATTCAGTATCTATTTCTGACTCATCAAAGATGACTAGAATCGTTCCAAAGCAGGTCCCTGGGAAGATACTTTGATGTAGCTTAGAAACTGTTTCTTAGTCCATTTGGGCTGCTAAAACAACATACCATAAACTGAGTGGCTTATAAACAGCAGCATTTTATTTCTCACAGTCCTGGTGACTAGGAATACCAAGATCAAGGTTCCAGTTTATTGAGTGTCTGTTAAAGGCCTACTTTCTGGTTCATAGTTGGTGCCTTCTAGCTGAGTCCTCACATGGTAGAAGGGACAGTGGTCTCTCTTAGGTTTCTTTTATAAGAATCTTATTCACTAACCTTATTCATGACCTAATCACCTCCCAAAGGTCCTACCTCCTAATACCATAGAAATTAGTATTTCAACATATGAATTTTTGGGGGTGACAAAAACATTCAGACCATAGCAGACCATATTTTAAACACAACTAGAAAACTGAACTTTGGGCCGGGTGTGGTGGCTCACGTCTGTAATCCCAGCACTTTGGGAGGCCAAGGCAGGCGAATCACGAGGTCAGGAGATTGAGACCATGGTGAAACTCCGTCTCTACTAAAAACACAAAAAATAAGTTGGGTGCGGTGGCGGGCGCCTGTAATCCCACCTACTCATGAGGCTGAGGCAGGAGAATGGCGTGAACCAGGAGATGAAGCTTGCAGTGCGCCGAGATCGCGTCATTGCACTGCAGCCTGGGGGACAGAGGGAGACCCCACACAAACACTAAACTTTTTTTTTTTTTTTTTTGAGACGGAGTCTCGCTCTGTCGCCCAGGCTGGATGGCACCATGTCGACTCACTCCAACCTCTATTTCCCGGGTTCAGACAATTCTCCTGCCTCAGCCTCCCAAGTAGCTAGGATCACAGGCGCCTACCACCACACCCAGCTAATTTTTGCTTTTTTTAAGTAGAAACAGGGTTTCAACATGTTGGCCAAGCTGGTCTCAAACTCCTGACCTCAGGTGATCCACCTGCCTCAGCCTCCCAAAGTGCTGGGATTACAAGCATGAGCCACCACACCCGGCCACTTTGTGTGATCTTTTCACATACATGTTTAAAGTGTAACAAAGTTTTCTGGCAGTTAATTTATGCCCAGATGGTTAATGATATTCAAGCTAAAAATATTAAAGTTCTATAAAGCAAATTTAAATTCCTCCAGATTTCTAAAATTTGGAATCATAAAGCATCATAAAGCCCAAAATTATAAGTCTCACGCAACATTTATAAACACATGGCTCTAGCCTATTCTCTTCCAGACTATTTGCTTTAGACAAACTATAATATATTCAAGAATAACAACTTACCAAATCACAAAGTCCAACTTGCCCAAATTTGGCCCCAACTGCTACCAAAGTTCTAGTCTCTGATGGGTGGAGAGCCATAGAGAATATTGGGCCTGTGGTAACTTTGTAAACAGTATCTTCACTAATGACCATGCCATTTAAATTGGCTCTGTAGCTAAGAAAATTAGAAAGTTAAATTTTGTAAGTAAAACCAATCTCAATAGTCAAAATAAGTAAAAGATTATTCAAAAAGAAAAATTACAATCAGTAAACAAATATGGGAAACTATTCAATCTCCTGGTAACCAAGGAAATCAAATTAAGCAATACTCTTTCACTTTTTAAATTACCCTTGATAATTTTACCACCACCAAAGACTGGTAGGCTGCAGTTAAATACACATAATCACACATATAGCTAGTGGAAGAGTAAGTTCGTATAAAATTTTCAGAAGAAAAAAAGACTTTTGAGAAACAATTCGGCAATGTGTACTAAAAGCAGTAAAAATGTTCACAATATTTGATGCATTAATCTCACTTCTGGAAATCTAACCTAAAGAAATAATCCACTATCATATCCATATACTTCAACAAACACACAAAACTAAATGGAAAACAACCGCAAATACCAAGCAGGTAGGAGGAGAAGTGAATTCCTTCTACTCAATGGAATATTTTATAATTATTCAATAATTTTAAAGACTCTAATAACATGTAACCACAAATGAAAAAAGCATAATGCAGGCCAGGCACAGTGGCTCACACCTGTAATCCCAGCGCTTTGGGAGACCAAGGCAGATGGCTCACTTGAGCTCAGGTGTTCAAGACCAACCTGGGCAACACAGCAAAATCTCATCTTTACAAATACAAAAATTAGTGAGGTATGATGGTGCATGCCTGTAGTCCAAGCTACTTGGGAAGCTGAGGTGGGAGGATCATTTGAGCTCAGGAAGCAGAGGTTGCAGTGAGCCAAGATTGCGCCACTGTACTGCAGCCTAAGCAACAGAGGGAGACCTTGTCTCAAAAAAAAAAAAGAAAAAAGTATAATGCAAAATTGTATATACATTACAACATACAGTAAAAATGTATGTGGATTCACTCATTTATTCAACACTGAACATTTATTCAACACTGAACATATATTATGTGCTAGGCACTGTTCTGGTTATTGAAATAAAATTCTTGCCCTCATGAAGCTTATATCCTAGTAGTATTGTATATGGCAACACTTGAGAGGAAATACACAAAAACAACAGTTGTTAGGGTGGAAACATTTCATTTCACTTTCAAAATTCCCTAAAATGGTGTATAGTCTTTATAACTCAAACATCTCAAAAAATATAAAAGAAACACAAGGAATTGCAACTTACCTTTTAATGCTAGATAATCCTTTCTCAGTGTTCTTACTACTTGGCTGAAACATTGGGAGAGATCAAAGAACTACATTAACACACACGCACATATATATATAGTATATATTTCCTTAACAGATGATTCTAAAGGCTATTAGCCTTCCCAATACCTTCTTCATTCCTGCCCATGTGTGCAGAAATCCTTTAAATCGTTCATTGTCTTCTTGATTTTCAGAAGTCATTTCTAAAGGCCCAGGAGGTAACAAAGGCTGTTATAAAAAATAAAAAGTTATTTGTTAGTCTCGTAAATTTGTTGGTTTACATTTACCTAGAATGTAAACACAAGGAGGGCAAGGGTATTTGTCTGTTTTCCCACAACTTCACTTTCAACATTAACAGTAACGGTGGCATATCATGGACACTCAAAATAATTGTTCAATAAATGAATGCCAGGTACCCTATAAATCAATAACATGTATTATCTCATTTAATCCTCTCAAGCACCTAGTGAATGAGGTATTACATTTTAAAGACAGTGGATTGAAACTTAGAGCCTGTAATCCCAGCACTTTGGGAAGCCGAGGCAGGCGGATCACGAGGTCAGGAGTTCAAGACCAGCCTGTCCAACATGGTGAAATCCCATCTCTACTAAAAATACAAAAATTAGCTGGGCATGGTGGCAGGTGCCTGTAATCCCAGCTACTCGGGAGGCTGAGGCAGGAGAATTGTGTGAACCCAGGAGGTGGAGGTTGCAGTGAGCCGAGATTGCACTATTGCACTCCAGCCTGGGCAACAGGTAAAGACTCCGTCCCAAAAAAAAAAAACAGAAACTTAGAGGAGTTAACTTGCCCGAAGTCACACAGCCATTAACCAGAGAAGCTGAGAACTGACTCAGATTATCTTAACTCATTACTCAGTATCATACCTACATTACTAATTTTTTAAACAGTTTGTAACCAACCAATGGGTGAGAAATCATGTTAATATGTCACAACTAGCAATTTGTTTTAGTGAATGAGACTAGAATAGAAGTATCAGGCCAGGAACATGGCTCACACCTGTAATCCCAGCACTTTGGGAGGCCGAGGCAGGCAAATAGCTTGAGGCCAGAAGTTCGAGACCAGCCTGGCCAACATGGCGAAACCCCATTTCTACTAAAAATACAAAAATTAGCCAGGCGTGGTGACACACGCCTGTAGTCCCAGCTACTATGGAGGCTGAGGCACGAGAATCACTGGAACCAGGGAGGCGGAGGTTGCGGTGAACCAAGATCATGCCATTGCAATCCAGGCTGGGCAACAGAGGGAGACTGTGTCTCAAAAAAAAAAAAAGAAATACCAAATGCACATGTAGTGTCACTTGACAAACTGTGGTTTCAGTTGCATATATGTGTAATGGTTACAATGTAAATATCTTTTTTTTTTTTTAAATTTAATGTCTCAAGTGATGCTCCCACCTCAGCCTCCTGAAGAGCTGGGACTACAGGCACATGCCACCACACCCAGCTAATTTTCGTATTTTTTTTGTGAGGACAGGGTCACTTGATGTTGCCTAGGCTGGTCTCAAACTCCTGGATTCAAGTGATCCTCTTGCCTCAGCCTCCCAAAGTGCTGGGATTACAGGCATGAGCCACTACACCTGGCCATAAATATATTTATGGGCTGAGGCTTCAAAAAAATTTGGAAGCTACTCTTCCATGCTGCTTCCCGTAACACCTGGATTTGCAATTTGCTCCCAGAGCACCTTCCTAATTAGTGCTATCTTCCTATTTACAATTAAACACTGATATAAAGTATTAAAAATAGGTGTTCTTGAAAAATATTATTTAGACGATGTTTGCTAAATAAAACTCTACTCACTAAAATTAAACTACACATTATCATATATTATTAACATTAATATTTTATTGATTACTAAGCCCTTAATATAATGTGAGAAACCTGATAGATACAATTTATCTTCACAGTATCTCTTTGAGGTTTCTTTCTTTTAAAACTGACATAAAATTGCACATATTTACTGAGGGTTCTATTATTGCTGACATTTTTTTAATGGGGAAACGATCAGAAAGGTTAATTAACTCACCCACAATCCTATAGCAGGTAAGTCCCGCAGAAATACAGAATTTAATCCAGTCTTTACGACTTTGAAATCTTACTCATTAAACCATAGAACAGGCCGGGCGCAGCCATTGCAGTGGCTCACACCTGCAATCCTAGCACTTTGGGAGGCCAAGGCAGGCAGATCACTTGAAGTCAGGAGTTCAAGACTAGCCTGGCCAGCATGGTGAAACCCCGTCTTTACCAAAAATATAAAAAATCAGCCAGGTATCGTGGCATGTGCCTGTAATCCCAGCTATTCGGGAGGCTGAGGCAGGAGAATCGCTTGAACACCAGGAGTGGGTTGCAGTGAGGCAAGAGCATGACACTGCATTCCAGCCTGGGTGACAGAGCGAGACTCCGTCTTAAAAAAAAAAACAAAAAACAAAAAACAAAACCATACAACATTCAAGAATGAAATATAAAATTAAACATAATTTAATGAACTTTTAGTCTAGTTTCAACACTTCAAATTTTTCAGTATTTTATTACATTAAAATATTGTATTTGCACATTTTCTTACAGTTTCATCTGCTACTAATGTCGGCGGTGTTGGAGTTGCTGGTAATGGAACTCCCGAAGGATCAACTTTTAGTAATCGCATTGACCTTCTACATCCAACCCCATTTTCTCTCTTAGGCTTCTTTCTGCAGGAGTGGGGAAAAATTCATGTTATACTCACAAAACAATAAAATTTACTAACATTAAGGAGATAACTTCTAGGAATATATCCCACAGATATATTTATACATTGCATATATATACATGGCCACAATTATTTTAATAAGTATGGAAAAAACTTAAACCTAAATGTTCATCAAAAGGAGGTGAGGTCTGTTAAATCATGGTGTACATATCTAATAGAATAATATGCAGCCATAAAAAGAATGATACAGATCTTAATGCACTGCTGAAAGGAACCCTAGCTTATAAAAAGCAAAAACAAAGTCCAGTACAGGTTTACAAAAAGGTTACATATACACATACATTTGTACATGCTGAGGTTACCTATGGAGGAATACACATAAAACTACTACTTCTAGGGAAAAGGCCTGGAAAACTAAGGTCTAAAATAGGAAGGAAACGTAAACGTTTCACTGCATTCCCTTCCATACACTGTAGTTTACTTTTTTTTTTTTGAGACAGAGTCTCGCACTGTCGCCCAGGCTGGAGTGCAGTAGCGCGATCTCGGCTCACTGCAAGCTCCACCTCCCGGGTTCACGCCATTCTCCTTCCTCAGCCTCCCGAGAGCTGGGACTACATGCGCCCGCCACCACGCCCAGCTCATTTTTTTGTATTTTTAGTAGAGACGTGGTTTCACCGTGTTTGCCAGGATGGTCTCGATCTCCTGACCTTATGATCCACCCGCCTCGTCCTCCTAAAGTGTTGGGATTACAGGCGTGAGCCACCGCGCCTGGCAGTTTACTTTTCAAATAATATACAGTCCCTATTTTTTATGCACTATTTTTTCATTTTGGGAAAGAGAAGCCTCTGAAATTATTTCCAAAAATTCACAAAAAAATTATCAGCTATAGTCAACATTAGTTCGAGAATTAGTAAAAACTTTTTTTTTTTTTTTTTTTTTTTTGAGATGGAGTCTGGCTCTGTCACCCAGGCTGGAGTGCAGTGGCCGGATCTCGGCTCACTGCAAGCTCCGCCTCCCGAGTTTACGCCATTCTCCTGCCTCAGCCTCCCGAGTAGCTGGGACTACAGGCGCCCGCCACCTCGCCCAGCTAGTTTTTTTTTGTATTTTTTAGTAGAGACGGGGTTTCACTGTGTTAGCCAGGATGGTCTCGATCTCCTGACCTTGTGATCCGCCCGTCTCGGCCTCCCAAAGTGCTAGGATTACAGGCTTGAGCCACCGCGCCCGGCCTAAAAACTATTATTGATTGAAAGTATACTATATACTAAAAACTGTACTCAACATTCCATCTCATATTTAATCCTCAAAAAATACGCCTGAGTATATGGAATAATATGGGCTGTCATACAATCCTCCTAGAAATCTACTCCTAGAGAAACTCCCATACATAAGCACTAAGAGACTTAAGAATGTTTAGAGCAGTACTTTTCATAATAAAAACCTGGAAACAACTCAATTGTTCATCAACAGTGGAATAAAATGTAGTACATTTATCCAGTGGAATATCATATAGCAGAAAAAAAGAATGAAATAAAGCTGTGCACATCAACATGGGTAAATTTAAAAGCATAAATATGTAAAGATGAGCAAAATAAGAAAATCTCAGAATATAAAAATGGCATATTGTATGTGAACACCAAAAAAAGACAAAGCTAAACAATAGAGTGTTTAAGGATACACTCACTGGTAGTAAAACTATAAATCAATAGCCAGGCACAGTGGCTCACACCTGTAATCCCAGCAATTTGGGAGGCTGAGGCGGGCGGATCACTTGAGGTCCGGAGTTCCAGATCAGCCTGGCAAACATGGCAAAACCCCGTATCTACTAAAAATACAAAAATTAGCCAAGCATGGTCATGAGCACCTGTAATCCCAGCTACTCAGGAGGCTGAGCCATGAGAATTGCCTGAACCTGGGAGGCAGAGGCTGCAGTGAGCCAAGATGGCGCCACTGTACTCCAGTCTGAGCAACAGAGCGATACTGTCTCAAAAATAAATAAATAAATAAAAATGAAACTATAGGCTGGGCACGGTGGCTCACGCCTGTAGTCCCAGCACTTTGGGAGGCCGAGACAGGTGGATCACAAGGTCAGGAGATGGAGACCATCCTGGCTAACACGGTGAAACCCCGTCTCTACTAAAAATATAAAAAATTAGCTGGGCATGGTGGCGGGTGCCTGTAGTCCCAGCTACTCGGCAGGCTGAGGCAGGAGAATGGTGTGAACCCGGGAGGCAGAACTTGCAGTGAGCTGAGATCACGCCACTGCACTCCAGCCTGGGCAACAAAGTGAGACTCTGTCTCAAAAAAAAAAGAAACTATAAATAAATGCAAGGAAATATTATCACAAAAGTCAGCATAGTGGTAGTATCTGGAGGGAGCTATATATATGGGCCTTCGGGGGTACTCATAATTTCTATTAACCTGGATGGCAGGTACATGGTTGGGACCTGTATAATTTTTCAACTACACAAATACATTATATGTACCTTTTTATATGTATATTTAATAATTTTCAAAAAAATTTAAATCCTTCTGGATTAGCATAACACCAGTTTTACAGAAAAGGAAAGAAAAATTATATAAAGTATCCAAGGTTAATATCATAGCTGTAAGTGACTGAATCAAAACTTGAACCCAAATTTGCTACATCTCAAAGCCTATGCTTCTTCCTCTACATTATGCAACTTCCATACTATCAACTTGCTACTACCTATGCAACTATTAAGGGCTGGAATTTTGTGATTTAGGAAGAAATCACCTATCTTGGCTAATAAAAAACATTCAAATGTAAAGGTACTAATCAGCTGGCAACAGGACCAGTGCTACTGTTTTTCCAGTGTTAATGATGTTCCTCTTACAGTAACTTTTCATACTTGAAAATACCTGGCCATGATTAAAGGTCTAGCTTTTCTCAAGCTAATTGTCCTGTAACAGAATCAAACCAAGTAAATGAAGCTACATTTCATTAGGATCTGGCACTAAACAAATGAGCTAATGATACCAAGATTTTTAGTTTCTTCATTTACATGTAAGCACTACCAAAATGCAATGGAGATAATTCAAAATTTAAAAACCCTGGAGTTCAAATCCTAAAGCTACCACTTATAAGCTGTTTTGACTTTCAGCAAATAATTTTTTTTTTTTTTTTGAGATAGAGTCTCTTATCGCCCAGGCTGGAGTGCAATGGTGTGATCTTGGCTCACCACGACCTCTGCCTGCCAGGTTCAAGTGATTTTCCTGCCTTAGCCTCTTGAGTAGCTGGGATTCAGACATTTGCCACCATGCCTGGCTAATATTTTAATTTTTTTTTTTTTTAGTAGAGATGGGTTTTCTCCATGTTGGTCAGGCCAGTCTCTAACTCCCGACCTCAGGTGATACCCCTGCCTCAACCTCCCAAAGTGCTGGGATTACAGGCATGAGCCACCGCACCCAGCTAACAATCTTATATTTTGAGCCTGATTTTGAGCCTGATTTCTAACTCACAAAATGAATATATTACCTACCACATACATGGATGGATACAGTGGTTGTCAGAGTTAAATGAGATAAAACACGACAAAATTGCTAGATCACTATAGTATGTTTCATAGATGTTCAATAAATGTTAATTCCTTTCCTTTATTCTAGGACTAAGAAAGCAAAAACAAATTGACACGCAAAAAGACAGCTAGAAAAATTAAAAGTAAGTAGAAGAGTCTTTAAGAATAATAGTTTTCTAAGTAACAATAATTTAGTGGAAAAAAAGATTTCCCTCCATTATAGCAACAACAAATATAAACAAAGTTCAGCTCTCAATTGTATTTGCTCCATATTATTTTGATGAAGATGAGAATTGTAAAGTTATGAAAGGTTAGCATTACCTCAGAGATCCTAGAGGGACTGAGATTAAACAGCACTTGACGATCTGTTAAGCTTACTATGCCAAACCATTTTTTTCAAATTATAAAACAGTTGAGCAATGTATCATGGTTCAGGCATTGCAAACCAGGTATTTTACCTCTTGGATTTAGGAGGCTGTCTCTTCTCTATGATTTCACGGAGTCTTGCAGCAGACTGTAAAGTATAAAAATCATGTAAAAATGTTTTAACTACATATCTTACCTTTTAAAATATTAGGTATCTGCTACTATACCCACGTTAAACTAAGGTCTATTCAGGAACTAAAGATCCTAAAGATAGGCCATAAGTCATGATCAGCGTTTCTGTACTCCAGCCTGGGCAACACAGCGAGACCCTGTCTCAAAAAAAAAAAAAGGCCAGGCGCAGTGGCTCAAGCCTGTAATCCTAGCACTTTGGGAGGCCGAGACGGGCGGATCACGAGGTCAGGAGATCGAGACCATCCTGGCTAACATGGTGAAACCCCAAACTAGCCGGACGAGGTGGTGGGCGTCTGTAGTCCCAGCTACTCGGGAGGCTGAGGGAGGAGAATGGCGTAAACCCGTGGGGCGGAGCTTGCAGTCAGCTGAGATCTGGCCACTGCACTCCAACCTGGGCGACAGAGCGAGACTCCATCTCAAAAAATAAAAATTAAAAAAAAAAAAAAGGCCAGGCGTGGTGGATCACACCTGTAATCCCAGCACTTTGGGAGGCCAAGGCGAGTAGATCACTGGAGGTCAGCAGTTCGAGACCAGCCTGACCAACATGGTGAAACCCCATCCCTACTAAAAATACAAAAATTACCCAGGCATGGTGGCAGGCGCCTGTAATCCCAGCTACTCAGGAAGCTGAGGCATGAGAATCGCTTGAACCCGGGAGGCGGAGGTTGCAGTGAGCCGAGATCACGTCACTGCACTCCAGCCTGGGCAACAAGAGCAAAACTTTGCCTCCAAAAAAAAAAAAAAAAAAGGGACAAAAAAAAAATGCCTTCGAATCAATGGAATACAGTAACCTCTTCCTATTAAGTGCAAAACCTGCTATTTTAGCCTTCCTCATCTGACACTATGAAACCTGGTATGTTATTGACCTTCTGGTGGGAGTTATGACATCTTGGGTTTTATTACTCTTGTTGTTTTGAGACAGGGTCTTGCTCTGTTGCCTAGGCTGGAATGCAGTGGCACGATCATAGCTCACAGCAGCCTTGACTTTCTAAGCTCAAGCCATACTTCCACCTCAGCCACCCCAGTAGCTACGACTCCAGGCATGCATCACTATGCTCAACTAATTTACTTTTTATAGAGGTGGGGGATGGTCTCCGTATGTTACCCAGGTTGATCTCCCACCTCCACCTCCCCAAGTGACAGGATTACAGGCGTGACCCACTGCTCCCGGCCCAGCATCTTGGTTTTAAATACAGACTCCACACAAACCTCAGACAACTGAAGAGAAGCAAAAAAGTCTGCATTTTCTGATATATTCTTCAGTCTCTTCCTTTCGTAGGGTGACAATCCCGAAAAATCATCCTATAAAATTTACCAAAAAGATTCCATTACTTTATATAATCTATAGGAAAAGCACTTCACAAAACTATGTGTTTCATTTTCTACATGAGTACTTTACTTCAAATTGTACTACCTCTATTCATTTCATGCCATCTAACCAAAATAGACGTTTGCTGAATTGGATATTTCAGTAAATCTGAATTTGGGATACTCACAGAGTATCTGTATGGCTTCCCAGTTAAGAAGTGATCTGATATTAGAAATCAAGTAGTATAATCTAGTAGCAAATTATTTCCTAGTGGCAATTAATTGTACTATTACTCAAAAGTTATTTTTGGCCAGGCGTGGTGGCTCACGCCTGTAATCCCACCAATTTGGGAGGCTGAAGCAGGTGGATCACCTGAGGTCAGGAGGTCAACACCAGCCTGGCCAAAATGGTGAAATCCCGTCTCTACTAAAAATATAAAAATTGGTCAGATGTGGCGGCTCATATCTGTAATCCCAGCACTTTGGGAAGCCAAGGCAGGCAGATTACCCGAAGTCAGGAGTTCAAGACCAGCCTGGCCAACATGGTGAAATCCTGTCTCTACTAAAAATGCAAAAAAAAAAAAAAAAAAAATTAGCCAGGTGTAGTGGCAGGTGCCTGTAATCCCAGCTACTCTGGAGGCAGGGGCAGGAGAATCACTTGAATCCAGGCGGCGGGGGTTGCAGTGAGCCGAGATCATGCCATCACACTCTAGCCTGGACAACAAAAGCGAAACTCCGTCTCCAAAAAAAAAAAAAGTTATTTTTATCAAACAAAAAAACTTTCTTTAAATGCAGTAGAGTAAGTACATGTCTCTACTTTCTCCTAAAGAGCCACTAATGTAACAGTAAGCTAATGTTTTTTAAACCCTGAGATATAAGACAGTATATTCAGGAAATAGCAAAATACTGTAAGAAAATTCAAAAAATAAGAACAGAAGTTTTTAAATCCATTAAAACGCTTAAATTTAGAAAGTATAACAAAAAGATAAACACATGGACAGAAAAGACAAAAAACAGACTCAATCTTAGAGGTCCAATATCCAATTCATTGTTTGAGAAACTGCAGAGAAATTGGAAGAGAATCAATCATTAAAAAATAATAAAGGCCGGGCGCAGTGGCTCACGCCTGTAATCCCAGCACTTTGGGAGCCCGAGGTGGGCGGATCACAAGGTTAGGAGTTCGAGACCACCCTGGCTAACAAGGTGAAACCCTGTCTACTAAAAATACAAAAAATTAGCTGGGAGTGGTGGCGGGCGCCTGTAGTCCCAGCTACTCAGGAGGCTGAAGCAGGAGAATGGCATGAACCTGGAAGGTGGAGCTTGCAGTGAGCCGAGATGGCTCCACTGTACTCCTGCCTGAATGACAGAGCAAGACTCCGTCTCAAAAAAAATAAATAGTAATAATAATATAAATGGGAGGCCGGGTATAGTGGCTCAAGCCTGTAATCCTAGCACTTTGAGAGGCCGAGGCGGGCAGATCACCAGGTCAGGAGATCAGGACCATCCTGGCCAACATGGCAAAACTCCATCTCTACTAAAAATACAAAAATTGGCCGGGCATGGCGGCACGCGCCTGTGGTACCAGCTACTCGGGAGGCTGAGACAGGAGAATTGCTTGAACCCAGGAGACAGAGGTTGCAGTGAATGGAGATTATGCCACAGGACTCCAGCCCGGGCGGCAACAGAGCGAGACTCTCTCTCAAAAAAAAAAAGAAAAAAAGAAAAAGAAAAGACAGAAAGAAAAATAATGTAAGTGGGAGACTGAAGCAGAAGGATCACTTGAGCCCAGAAGTTCAAGGTTGCAGTAAGCTATGATGACACCACGGTATTCTAGCCTGGGCAACAGAGCGAGACCCCCATCTCTAAAAAATAATAGTCTGAAAACAAAAATATTATTTTAAAGTTTCTCAAAACTAAAGACATGAGCTTCCAGATTACAAAAAGCCCAATGAGTATACAGCATAATGAATGAAAAAGGACTCAGGCAAGCAGGCTCAGTGGCTCACGCGTGTAATCCCAGCACTTTGGGAGGCCACCAGGCAGATCACTAGAGGCCAGGAATGGGAATCCTGGCCAACATGGTGAAACCCGTCTCTATTAAAAATACAAAAAAAACTAGCTGGGCGTGGTAGTGCACACCTGTAATCCCAGCTACTTAGGAGGCTGAGGCACGAGAATTGCTTGAACCTAGGAGGCAGTGGTTGCAGAGCCGAGATCACACCACTGCATTCCAGCTGCCAGGGCAAGAGCAAGACTGCCTCAAAAAAAAAAAAAAAAAAAAAAAAAGCAGGCCGGGTACGATGGCTCATGCCTGTAATCCCAGCACTTTGGGAGGCCGAAGTGGGCAGATCACCTGAGGTCAGGAGTTCGAGACACCCTAGCCCACATGGTGAAACCTCATCTCTACTAAAAATACAAAAATTAGCTGGCCGTGGTGGCATGTGCCTGTAGTCCAAGCTACTCAGGAAGCTGAGACAGGAGAATCGCTTGAACCTAGAAGGCAGAGGTTGCAGTGAGGCAAGATTGTGCCACTGCACTCCAGCCTAGGTGACTGGGTAAGACCCCGTTTCAAGAAAACAAAACAAAACAAAGAAGAACCCAGGCCTTGGTATATCATCACAATTTTTTTTTTAAACAGATGGACTCTCACTCTGTCACCCAGACTAAAGTGCATTGGCTTGATTAAAACTTACTGCAGCCTTGCACTCCTGGGCTCCAGCCTTAGCCTCCCAAGTAGCTGAAACTACAGGCCTGCGTTACTACACCCAGCCAGAAAAGATCTTAAAAGCATGCAGAGGGAAAAAAAAGATCACAAAGAATCCAGAATCAGAATGGCACAAACTTTCAACATTGAAGGAAGTGGGAAGACAATCGAACAATGCGTTAAAAATTCTAAGGAAAGATTAAATTATTTTCAACTTACAATTCTAAATCCAATTAGGTCATCAATCAAACATAAAGCTAAAGACTTTTTCTGGGCTGAGCGCAGTGGCTCACGCCTATAATCCTAGCACTTTGGGAGACTGAAGCAGGCAGATCATGAGGTCAGGAGTTCGAGACCAGCCTGGCCAACATGGTGACACCCCCGTCTCCATTAAAAATACAAAAAGCTACAATGAGCCGAGATCGCACCACTACATTCCAGCCTGGGTGACAGAATGAGACTCCGTCTCAAAAAAAAAAAAAAAAGGACTTTTTCTGACATGGCAAATATTTTGCCTCTTCATATACTTTTTTCAGGAAAGCTGCACTCCCAAAATGAAAGAATAAGACCAAAGAAGAAAAGACATGGCATGCAACGGTGGCTCACGCCGTAATCCCAACTGTGAGAGGCGAGCAGGCGGATCACTTGAGGCAGGAGTTCAAAACCAGCCGTGCCAACATTGAGAAAACCCTTCTCCACTAAATACAAAAAATTAGCCAGGCATGGGTGGCGCACGCTATAATCCCAGGCTAACTCGGACGCGATTTGGGGGAAGAACTGGCTTTGAACGCTGCGGAGATGAACGGTGCACTGAGCTGAGACATGCCACTGCACTCCACCTGGTGACAGAGCAAGACCCTCTCAAAAAAAATTAAAAAAGTAATTCTGGCTGGCGCGCGGTGGCTCACACCGTAAACCCAGCACCTTGGAGGCTGAGGGGGCAGATGCTGGAGCTCCAGGAGGTTGAGACCACGCCGTGGGCAATAACATGGCAACACCAACTCTCTCAAAAAAAAAAAAAAAAAAAAAAAAAAAAAAGTCAAAATTACCGGACAAGGTGGCACATGCCCTTAGTCTCAGCTGTATTGAAGCTTATATTTTTTTTTTTTTAAAAACAAGGAGTCCTCTGCTCTGTTCACCCAGCCTGGAGTGCAGTGACTTGATCTTGGCTCACTGCACGCCTCAAAGCACACCCAGGTCAAAGCGATTCTCCATTCTCAGCCTCGCGACGTAGCCTCAGATTACAGCACCTGCCACCCCTACGCCTGGCTAATTTTATATCGTTCTTTTTTTTTTGTGTGGCAAGGGGGTGGGGAACAGTCTGGCCTGTGTCGCCAGCGCTAGACCTTGCAGTGGCTGTGATGGCTCACTTGCAACCTGCCCACCTCCTGAGTTCAGACAATATTTCACCTGACTCAGCCTCCCCGAGTGCTGGGGACCTAACGGTGCCCGCCACCATGCCCTGGCTAATTTTTGTATATTTAGGGCGAGAGACGGTGGTTCCACCACGTTGGCCAGGCTGCTCTCGAACTCCTGACCTCAAAGGATCCACCCACCGCTCAGGCCTCCAAAGTGTGGTCGAGTACATGCATGAACAACCATGACCAGGCCTAATTTTGTATTTATTAGGATAATGGGCGTTTATCATTTTGGGGCAGTTGTCTGGAATTCCTGACCTCAGGTGATCTGACCACCTCCTTTTGTTAATTTTTAATTTTTTTTTCTTTAGGAGCAACTCTATTAACGGACCTATTTCATTACATCAAACTAAAATCTGCTTTATGTTTACCTCGTATTCTTCAGAATCTTACAGTCTAAGAGGCCAAAGGGATAATCTAATCCAGTGGTTCTCAAAGTGCAGTCCTGGACTAACAACATCAGTGTCACTAGGAAACTGTTAAATATGCAAATTGGGCTGGGTGGGGTGACTCAAGCCTATAATTCTAGCACTTTGGGAGACTGAGGTGGGAGGACTGGTTGAGCTCAGGAGCTCAAGACCAGCCTGGGCAACACCTCCCACCCCCAACCCCACCAACATCTCTATTTAAAAAAAAAAAAAAAAAAGAAAGAAAAAAGAAAAAAGATATGCAAATTGTATGCTCAACTCCAAAACTTCTGAATCAGAAACTCTGTTGGTGGGCCCTGGCAATGGAGTTTTAACACACTATCCAGGTAATTCTGATATAGCCTAAAGTTTGAGAACCACAGATTTTATCCAAAACCCCTCACTAAGGTGATTTGCTTAAAGGAACAAGGTTTCTTAGAAGGTGACATGGCTAGGCGGTGCGGGTGGCTGCCACGCCTGTAATTCAGCACTTTGAGAGGCGAGGTGGGCAGATCACAAGTCCAGGAGATCGAGACCATCCTGGCGATACAAAGGCGGCAAC